CGGGCCTAGCCTGTGTCTTTTTATAGGTGAGTTGAATCCATTTACATTAAGGGATATTAATGACCAGTGATTGCTATCTCCTGTTAATTTAATTTTCATTGTTGTTGATGTTAATTTGTGTGTTTTCCCTTCTTTGGGATTTGCTGCTGTGAGACCATCAATTGTCTGTGCTTTTATTGGTGTAGCCAACTTCCTTGTGTTCGAGTTTTCCTTCTAGTATTTTTGTGTCTGGCTGAGTTTGTGGCTAGGTATTGGTGAAATCTAGATTTGTCATTGAATATCTTGCTTTGTCTTTGTATGGCGATTGAACGTTTTTCTGCATATAGTAGTCTGCACTGGCATCCATGTTCCCTTAATGTCTGTACAATGCTTATGGCTTTCATTGTTTCCAATGAGAAGTCAGGTGTAATTTTGATAGGTTTTCGTTTATATGTTACTTGGCCTTTTTCCTTTTCAGCTCTTAATATTCTTTCTTTACTCTGTATATTTAGTGTTTTGATTATTATGTGGCAAGAGGATTTTTTGTGATCCAGTATATTTGGTGTTTTGTGTGATTCTTGTATCTTCATAGGCATATTTTTCTTTAGGTTGGGAAAGTTTTCTTCTATGGTTTTGTTAAATATATTTTCTGTGCTTTTGAGCTGAACTTCTTCTTCGAAACCTATTATTGTTAGATTTGGCCTTCTCATGGTGTCCCATATTTCTTGGATATTATGGGTTAAACTTTTATTAGATTTAAACTTTTCTTTAACTGATGAGTCTATTTCCTCTATTATCTTCAGCACTTGAGATTCTCTCTTCCATCTCTTGTATTCTGCAGTTCCTGCGTGCATTTGTGGTTCCTAATCATTTTCTTATGATGTCTGTTTCTAAAATTCCCTTAGCTCTTATTTTCTTTACTATCTCTATTTCAGTTTTCAAGTCCTGAATAGTTTATTTCATATGTTTGATTTCTTTTTCTTGGTTTTCTTTAAGTGATTTGCTGATGTCTTCAAATTTTTTGTTTGTCTTTTCTTCTATTTCTTTAAGGGAATTTTTCATTTCCTCTTTAAGAGTTTCAAGCATTATGTTGAATTTATTTTTTAGGTCATTTTCTTCGGCTTCATCCATATTTGGTTGTTCAGGTCTTGCTGTTGTAGAGTCTTTAGGTTTTACTGGTGTTGTGTTGCTCTTTGCGGTGTTGCATGTGTTCTTACCTTCTCTACTCATCTTTTCCTCTAATATGAGTGATTGGGGCAGTCTTAGATTCTGTTGAATAATCTTCTAGGTGTCAGTGAATCAAAGCTCAGATGGTTGTTCATTGTGGTAAGTCAGTGTCACAGTTTGAGTTACCCCGTTGGTTACTCCATGTTCCTGGAGATAGCTTGGCACTCCTGTGCTTTGCTCTGCTCCATTGGAGTTTGCTATCTCAAGTCTACTTTGCCTAGAGTGGTGGTTTTGACCTGTTTCTGTAATACTGGTCGGGATCCTTTCCTGCAGAAGTCCGTGGCTTGGAGTTGGACCTGGAAATGTTTCTGGCTCCATTCTACTGTCTCGGAGGTCCCAGGCTCAGGTACAACTCTACCCACAGAGGATCTGCATACTTCCTCAGAGGTCCAAGACTCACGCTTGGCCCCACTGAGATCTTTGGTTCCTGCCTATTCCCTCGGGAGGTCCCAGGTTCACTCACGCCCAGACTGGCAGAATTCCTGGCTCAGGCCTACTTCCTGGGAGGTCCTAGACTCATGCCCAGACCCACCGGGGTCCTGGCTTAGGTCTATTCCCTTGAAGGTCCCAGATTCACATCCGGACCCTAGCAGTCTCTGCTCGCTCACTCTGCAGTTATTCCCCTGTATCTGTTCGGCTGGAGATCACTGACTCTGGATCTGGTCACTAGCTTAATCCTGATCTGCTAGTGTCCCGGGACTAGGTTGGCTCCTGGGACAGGATTTGCTCCTGGCTTCTGCTCCCAGTGGAGCTTGTTTGCTCTCTGTCCTAGGTAGCTGGTGCTGTCCAACTCCATTTCTGGTGGAGGTCACTGACTCTAAGTCAGGTTGCAGTCTCAATCCTGGTCCACCAATGTCCCAGGACTGGGTTGGCTCCCAGGACTGGATTTGCTCCTGGCTTGTGCTCCCAGTGGAGCTTGTTTTCTCAGGACATCTTTGTCCTAGATATGTAGCTATAACTTCTTATTGGCTAGCTTTTACATCTTAATTTAACCCATTTCTATTATTTTATATTTTACCATGAGGCGTGTGGCCTCCCAGCAAGGTTCCAGCATCTGTCTCTGGTGGGGCTCCATGTCTTCTCTCTGACTCTGCCTTCTTCCTCCCATCATTTAGTTTAGTTTTCCCCACCTAGCTAAGTTCTGCCCTGCTATAGGTCAAAAGCAATTTCTTTATTCATTAATGGTATTTTCAGCATTCTGAGGGGAATCCCAAATCACCTCCCATTTTCTGTTTAAATAAAAAAAGAAGGTTTTAATTTTAAGATAGTAAAATTACATATAACAAAACAGATACCAAGCAAGAATTACAGTTACAATATTTGTATCCACTTTATCTTTTATCATAGCTAAAGAAAACTATAACTATAAATTCTTCAACTCCACCAAAGACTGCAGAAGGATATAATATTATCTAAGTAAACAAGAAGTACATTGGAAGCAACTTCCAAAAATGTAGAATTAATAGAGACATCTCACTGCCAGGACATCATTGGGACATCCAATCTTCAGCCGACAGGCCCATAGTATCCACCAGACTTTTCCATGAAGCAGGAAATTTCAAAAACAGTTCAGCCTATATGGGCAGTTTGTCAGTAACATTTTTGTGTGTCCTGCAGAATGTCTAGCACACTCTTTCATGAAGCAGGAACCCCAAGGACAATCTCACCTTTAGGCAAATTCAGCAGTCATTTCTCTGTGGGTCCCTCATTTCCAGTTCATACAACATAAAAACAAGCAATCCAGATAGCTTGTGCAACCCATGGCCTATGTGACCCTGACTCAGTGACTGTGTTTCCAGTCTCAGTTTCCCTAGAATAGGACAAAAGGTAAATGATCCTTTTCCATGCCTAGAAGTTAACGTTAAATGTGAGCAAAGACCTGACTTTCCACCAAGCAGTGTCTCTTAATATTTGCCTGCAGTAAATATTCCCTGGGCTGGACCCTCAGAGGCAGGGAGACACCATTTGTACACTTTTCTCCCATCTCTTTAGGGCTCTCCACCTTCCTGCGAGGTCTCAGAAGACCATCAGAAAAGCTGGCTGGTTGCCTTTCATATCCCTCCACCTATGCTGAGCACACTGAGTCTCAGAAGGAGATGCCCAGGTAACCTGCCTCAGATATGGCTCTCACAGGCTGATGGTCAGCAGGCTACCAGCCTACAATCAATCATTGTTCCCTGTCAGGTCCAACAGGAAAGAAATTCCAAACTAGTCTATAATCTTCTAAGGATTCCTGGTCAGGTCTAGGATGGAGGTCTGGAGCAAAACCCCGGGTGTTCACGTCTCTGTGAAAATCCCATGCTTTCGTCAGCCAGGCCCTACTTGACTTGTGAAAAGTCTTTCTCAAGGTCATGTTCATGATGATTATCTGAGACCCTGGGCAGAGTGTGATATTCCTGGGCTGAATGAACTCAACCCACTCTGAGCGTGGATTCAAGTGAGGCCCCCTGATTTATTGCTGTTTCCTCCACTCTTTGTCCTTTAAGAAATGCTTGAACCACAATGTGGGGACCATAACACAGAGTCATCAGGACTGACTATCCTACATGAAGTAGAGTTAACTCCACCCATGACCATGAGTGCCAGAGTCCATGTCCAGTGGGATTCTGTGCCCCAGGACGGATTGTGAAGTTGGCAAAGAATGAAGGGTCTGACCACTGGTCTTTCTACCTGATGTTCCCATCTAGCTCAGGCAGTCTTTATCTCTATAAGCCCTAATGCCTCCAAGCATGAGGAGTTCCAAATCATTTCTCTTTAATCACTCTCCTAGAATCATTAACATTTATTCATTTCAGGTTCTCTTCTTCCCACTCCCTTGACGTCATTGACCTTTACCCCATATCATTATAGTGCAAGCCAAATGTTTATATCCGGCCAGGCACATCTTATTCATACTGTGCCCTAGCTGGTGGTAAACATCTGATTACAAACTAAGAGACTTAAGCCCTGCGATTAGCTCTTCACACTGTGATACTTTCATATTTTTGTCACCAAATGAGTATATTGTCACACCTGGGATATCATTTTCAGGTGTATGCCAGTTTCTAAGTAATCTGTGTATCACCTTTATGTGGACTACAGTTATAATTCAAATCTTTATAAGTTCTGAAAATAGTAATGATTAATACCTAACGCTTTAACTGCTGGACAAAATTCCTATTCTTCCTGACAATTCCTACGTGTACTTTTCTCTTAAGGGAACTGGGAGTTTTAGATTCCTTTATCGATAAGTTGATATTGGAAGAATATCTGAGTTTTCATGTCCTGGCACCAAAGAAATGCCTGACCTTTTGTGTCCTATATCTTTTCCTTATATGTTTCTGTAAGTTTTTAATGTCATCTTTAAGAAACCATGTTCTAAGTTCTTTGTAGGATATTTATCTCTTTGGGGACTGAAAAAGCAATAATCATTAACCTTAGTGAGCTCCTCCTGCTCACTCAGGATGACTGCAAAGGCAGCCAGGAGCAAGAGAAGAAACTGGTTTCTGTAACAAATCAGAGAAATTTAATTTTTCTGCAGAATCTTTAATTCCCAGTAAACTCAGGCACAATCACGACTAACAAAGCAGAACTAAGAATCACCCTAAAAATAAGCATAGTGGAAGTTAGAGAGGCCTGAAGCCCATGCACCCCTGGGATCAGCGCAGACGTCTGAAGTATTGTTTCTGAAGGTCTTTGACAAATGGATGGGATTATCCAAAGGGCCTTGCCTCTAAAGAGCTCCATTTGCAAAACATGTATGAGTCATTCCCAGGGGTCACAGCATGGCTTCCTCCACTAGCAGTTACAGAGAATTACTTAGGGTTCACATGGATGTGCACATGTGCCATAAAATTTAAGTTTTCTGTTTCCATACGTAGCAAATAGGCTCCTTCATCTTTCTTAGTGACATTCCGGAAGACCAGGGATCCACTTTGGTATATTTTCTCTCTGCCGCTGTATGCAGGCCCTTTTTGAATTCTGCTACCAGATTTTAGAAACCGTGCAATTTCATTCTCCTCACTAATATGTTTTCCCTTGTACCAGAAAAAGGATTTGACTTTCTCTGGCATATCATGGACAAGTAGAACAACACTCTTCCCTTTATCAACGTGGGGCGGAACTGCCTCCACAGTAACTTCGGGCTTATTGGGTGAGCTCCAGTAGATCATAAGAAAGGCTAAGAGAAAAAAAACAAAACATTATTATTAGGACCTTTGCATTTCGTAGAAATTGAAATCTGAGAGTGTGTGTGTGTGTGTGTGTGTGTGTGTCGTATTTTGAAGAGGTCAGCAGCATCACCCCCATTCCTCAGTACCTCTGAAGCTTTCCATTGAATGAAACTGTTTACTCGGGTGTCTACACAGAGCACCCCATCCTTCCTCAGATCCCTGTTCACACTCAGAATCTTTGGTGAGTGTAGGCATGTCTTCTTTGACCTCCTTCTCTAAAGACTCCGAGCATTCATTTTCTGGCCTTCCCAGCTCTGTTTCTTCTGAAGTGCTTGTCAGTCCCAACCCCACCTTCTAGATGTCCTTGCTCCTCTGTCTTCCTGCCCAAGACTCTGTGAGGAGGAATAATTTGATTTTGGTTTAAAGCCCACTGCCTGAAACAGGCTCAGATACCTGTGGGCAAATTAGTGTCCCAGAGCCTGGGGTTTACTTGTGGATTCCTCAGGGTCATATGTCATGATGTTGCTTAATGGCCCCAGTCTGGGTTTTACTTGCAGAGTCACCCTGACAGAGTGGGAACGTCAGTCTTCAGCATACAGTGGCCGGTGCTGCTAATCAAAGACCAGGGAGGTTGGGAACTCATAGACAATCACCTGTCTCTAGCTCTGGTGTGCTGGCTGGGGTTAAAGGCACGCAGCACCGTGCTCAACTTACACGTTATTTTATCATGAGATTAACATGCATCCACCACCAAGCTGGCTGTGTTTGTATTTTGAGTCATGTTTTTCTCCGGGTGAATTTTACACAGTTTGCACATTGCTGATAAAAAATTGCCCCACCCTCAACACTATGAAGTAAAAAGGGAGGGGAGGTCACTCACGTCTTACGGTCAACTGGAAGGGGTCACTCCTCTTGGAACTGACTGCATTGTATATCTCACACTGGTACACTCCAGAATCCTCCTTCCTGGTGTGCGATATGGAGAGGAGTCTGTTTTGAATTAAGAATACCCTGTCTGTGAATTCCATTCCCTTGCCATTGTGGAACCAGCGGTAGGCAATTGTAGAGTCACTGGAGTTGAAGTCGCAGGTCAGGTGCACAGAGTCTCGTTCTTTGACTTCAGATTTGGTGGCTTCGATGGAGGGTGTAGTCACTGGCTCTGTGGATAAACAGTGAAGGGGACCAAATGAGAGTCGTTTACCCTCAGAGATCTCAGCCAGCTCACAGGGCCCACAGAATGAAGACACAAGATCTCATGTTTGGTGTAAGATATGGTCTCTCAGGAAAGAGCAGAATCTTCCTCTACCCAGATCACCCATAGTGACCCCGGACTCAGGGTATTCGTGTAGATTCCACACTAGGAGGCCACTCACCTTACGTGTTCAGAAACCTTGAGGGGGATTGGTGAAGAGTCCAACAATAAGAATATAGAAATGTAGGTTCCAGAAATAAGAATGTAGAAATAAGGGAATATGAAGTTGTAAGCCCAGGAGAATGAGAGCAGGCTGTCAGCAGCTTTCTAGCAGCTTAAGAATTAACCAAGAACCGGCCAGCCCGTCAGAGATCCCACACCAGTCAGGATCTGGCTGCCATTCAAGTACGACTGGGCCACAGATGAGACATTCTTATCAGGAGTTTCATGTTGATTGACATGAATCAGGGATCCCTAAAAGAAGCCCAAGTCTAGGAAATGATCTATAAAACTGAGGAGCACCTAATAGAGTCTCCATGGTGGGGAGGCAGGAGATGTGGCTGTGGACAGATAGCTTGTGCCACCCATGGCCTTTGTGACCCTGACTCAGTGACTGTGTTTCCTGCCTCAGTTTCCCTAGAATACAACACAAGGTAAATGATCATTTTCATGTCTACTAGTTCACCTGAAATGTGAGCAATAACCTGCCCTGACCTTCCACCAAGCAGTGTCTCTTAATATTTGCCTGCAGTAAATATTCCCTGGGCTGGACCCTCAGAGGCAGGGAGACACCATTTGTACACTTTTCTCCCATCTCTTTAGGGCTCTCCACCTTCCTGCGAGGTCTCAGAAGACCATCAGGACAGCTGGCTGGTTGCCTTTCATAGCCCTCCACCTATGCTGAGCACACTGAGTCTCAGGAGGAGATGCCCAGGTGACCTGCCTCAGACATGGCTCTCACAGGCTGAGGGTCAGCCGGCTACCAGCCTACAATCAATCATTGTCCCCTGTCAGCTCCAACAGGAGGTCAAATTACAGCCCAGTCTACAAGCTTCCCAGGATTCCTGGTCCAGTCTGGGGCAGAGATCTGGAGCAAACCTTCTGGTGTTCTTTTCTCTGTGAAAATCTCATGGTTTTCTCAGTCAGGCCCTTCCTCAGTCCTGAAGGGTCTTTCTCAAGGCCATGTTCATGAGGAGCATCTAAGTCCCTGGGCAGAGTCTGAAATGCCTGGGCTGAGTTACCTCCCCCCTTCTCTCTGAGGGTGGATTCAAGTGAGGGATCCTGATTTATTGCTGTTTCCTCAACTCCGTGTCCTTTACTAAATGCTTGAACCACAATGTGGGGACCATAACACAGTCATCCAACACTGACAATTCTATGTGTGAAGTAGGATTAGCTCCACCCACGACCCTGAGGTGACTTACAGTGTGCATGGAACTACACGGACGCACTCCTAACATCAAGGTTTCCCATTTTTATATGTAGCATGTAGGGTCTTGCATCTTTCTGAGTGATATTCCATAAGAGCAGAGATCCGTTGAGATATATTTTTACTCTGCCACTGTATGCAAGCCCTGTTTTATATGTTATTTGGGGTTTTATAAATTTTACAATCTCCTTTTTCTCATCCACATTATCTCCCTGTACTAGTAAAAGACTTGGGGTGTCTCTGGCAGATTGTGGACAAGTAGAAGAACATTCGCCCCTTCAGCAACATGGGGCGGAACTGCCTCCACAGAGACTCGGGCTGTGGTGGGAGAGCTCCAGTAGATCAAAAGTGAGGCTAAGAGGGAAAAGAGAAAAATCTATCAATATTAGATCTTTGCATTTGGTAGAAATTGAGACCTGGGTGTGTTCAATTGTCAGCCTTGCTGTGTGTGACATATTGGGGGGAGATCAGCAGCATCGCCCCCTTTCCTCAGTACCCCTAAGCTTTCCACTGAATGAAGCTGTCTTCTCTGGTATCTGCACAGCTCAACCCTCACTCCCTCAGTTCCCTGCTCACATTCAGAATCTTTGGTGAGTGTAGACATGTCTTCTCTGACCTCCTCCTGTAAAGACTCCATGCCTTCATTTTCTGACCTTTCCAGCTCTGTTTCCTTTGAAATGCTTGTCATCACCAACCCCACCTTCCAGAAGATGTCCTTGCTCCTCTGTCTTCCTGCCCAGGACTATGTGAGGAGAACTGGTTTGATTTTGGTTTAAACCCCACTGCCGGGAACAGGCTCAGACACCTGTGAGCAAATCACTGTCCCAGAGCCTGGGATTTATGTGCAGATTCCTCAGGGTCATATATATGAAATGACCCCTGTTTACTGGCCCCAGTTTGAGTTTTACTTGGAGAGTCACCCTGACACAGTTGTGGGAGTTAGTCTTCAGGGTGCAGAGGCCAGTACCCCCTTGCGTTGGGGAACCCCTGAGTTTTCCTCCCCACTTACCAATTCACATTCATTGCAAGCTTCCTGTTGCTCTCAGGCTTCAAGCAGGTGTCATATATCCCCTCTCAGGCTCAGTCCCCCTCCCAGAAGACCCCATCCAGTCCCTGAGCTCCCCTGCTCTCCACACCCCTGAGGAATGTCTTCTCACCTGTCAGCAGGAGTCCCCTACAGGGTAGCTGCCCTTTGTGGAGAGGGGCTGAGGAGAGCTCCATGGTCTCTGCTGTGGCCTAGGTCTTCCTCTGGAGAGGAGGTTTGTCTGTCAGGCTGCTGTCAAGCCTGGCTGCCCTGGTGTCTGCTCTGCTTTTATTCTCAGACCTGAGCCTCCTCCCAGAGGAGGACGCCTCCTGGAGTCACGTGGGCTGGGATGGAGTCTGTGTGTCAGTGCTGCCCCAGATCCTTCTATTCCTTTCTTTCTGGTTCAGTGTTCTAGACATACTTTGAGCCACAAGGTTCGGAAGTGTCCTGTGCCCTGAGAGAACAGCAGCTCACCCCCAGGACCTTGTCCCTGAATTTCCTATAGCCAAGAGTGTATTTCCTTGTGACACAAAAACCCAGCAGAGCCCAGTCTGCCATATTATCTCAATGCTCTGGGAAAGTGGGAGTTACTCCAGGGAGAGAAAGGCAGTTATCTAGAGGGGCTGGAAAAGGTCTGAGTGATGACTGGAGAGGGACCAGATCCATTGTCACTGCTGTCACCAGTCAGGTGTCCCATCCAGGAATACAAGTTATCTCAGGGTTTCACATCCTGACATGCAGGAGGAGGTGACCTGTGTACTAGAAAGAGGACTGTGTGTTCCAGCTCCCTATGGAGAACCCCAGGAGACACCCCTTTCCCCAGCTCCCTGTGCTAACCAAATGTGATTCAGGTCTGCCCATGCCCTCCCTGACCCTTCTGGGATGCCTTTGCTCTCCTTGGTGACTGCCCTGTGATCTCCCCATCTTTTCTCATGGGTGTTGTGGGGTGGGGGAAGACTGCATAGGGTCTCCTTGAATAGTTGGGTTCTCAGAGACACAGGAAATTGATGGAGGAAGGTCATTGGCTAATAAAGAAACTGCCTAGGCCCATTTGATAGGCCAACCCTTAGATGGGTGGAGTAAACAGAACAGAATGCTTGGAGAAAGGAGCCGAGTGAGGAGTTGCCATGATTCTCCCACTCCAGACAAAAGGAGGTTAAGATCTTCCCTGGTAAGCCACCTCGTGGGCTACACAGATTATTAAAAATGGGTTAGATCAATATGTAAGAGCTAGCCAATAAGAGGCTGGAACTAATGGGCCAGGCAGTGTTTAAAAGAATACAGTTTCCGTGTAATTATTTCGGGTATAAAGCTAGCCAGGTGGCAGGAAGCAGCCCGCTATTACAACAGAGTGGCGCCCAGACATGATGGACTAAATCCACTTAAAAACCTGAGAAGGCTTAAAAATAAGGGAGAGAGAGTTTAACACAGATTGTTGCTGTTTGTTGGTGGCGTGCTGTAGAAAGATTTCCTGATTCGGCAACAGCAGCAGAAAAAACACTGTCATTTTAAAGCGTGGCTTCTTGGGGCTGTGCTGCCAGCGTGAACTCTGGCTTTAAAGAATTTCAATGGCTTTTATGGGAATGGATGTTTCTGTTCCTGCTTGGTATCAGAAGGAGAGTTCTCTGAGACCGTGCTGATGGCTCAGCGCTCCCCACCTGCACCTGGGCAGATAGCAGAATCAGGCTTAGGCAGGCGGAAGAGCATGGCGGATTCCTGCCGCCATACAGAGACGTATTTTCAGACTGCGCAGTGCTCTGTGTGTCAGATTTGGCTGTAACTTGGATGAAAAGAGTTTCTGTGCTGCACGCTCAGTCTCAGAGTTAAACTGCTTACTGTGGCTCTAGTGTGGACTTGCTGTGTGGAACTGTGTGTGGCTCAGGGGCACCAAATGGCTCTGAGGCAGGACCAGCTGCTCCACTTTGAACTGTGCTGACCTCAGGCAGGAACTGCCATAATTACCATAATAATAGCGCAGTTAAGGTTTAGGCAGGAAACAGGCTGTACCATCTGGCGCAACTTAAGTTTTAAAGAAGTGCTTAACATTTTAAGAAATGCTCCTGGATAGTAAAGAAATTACAGATTCATAATACGACAGATTCAGATATAAAAGACCTCTGTGGGTCACAATGTTGGATGAGTGTACGTAAGCTTGAGAGAGAGAAAAAAAATAGAGAGAGAATAAAGTTAATGCCTTTAAAAAATAAAGGGTAAAGTCTTCAAAGAGACAGAGTACAGATATTTATAGATTAAGAAAAATAAGCCACGTAAAAATGGAAAATTCACAGAGAATCTGGATTATGTACATTGTGTTTTCTTTGAATTTTTTGACTGTGAAGGAGCTAAGTACAGAGAGACATTTCATTATATGGGCTGCCAAGCTAAACCAAAATGGATTTCATGAGGGTATTATGACTTCAGAATTTGGGTCTAAGGACATGATGCTTTGAAAAGGCGTTTCTTCTTTTGTTTTCACAGAGGATGAGACACTGTGGATTGCGTCTATCCCAATATGGTATGATAGACCACGCCCTCCTAAAAGGTTAATGTGAACACCCTCAAAAAATTACTTCACTCAACTCCCAACTGAGATGACCCTGGCACACAGGTTATACCATGAAAGACCTGATTAACAACCCCCCCATTCAGCAGGAAGCAGTTTGGAGAGAAAAACGTGCGCCCATTTTCCCAAATACGGTTTATAAACGTTCTTTTACATTTAAAGGGGGATATGATGTAGATATGAATAATTTACATTGGTATGAATTTTAAGGTCAATATTGTTATATGTATATGTATTTCTGATATTGATTAAGGTATTGTGATTGTATAGTTCATTTAAAATGTAATGTGTAATAGGAAATATAGGTTGCTAATGGATAATCATCGATAATAGTAAAGCTTGTAGTCATGTTAGTTAGATTTTACAGATATATATATATTTCAGTTAGATAGACATTCTTCATATCTCTCAAAGACTGCAGAATATGGCATTTAAAATAATTTAATAACTTAGAGTTTTTCATGGCAATGAGACATGTCTGCTCCTGGCAGCCCCAGCTACTACAAGAGGAAGATGGGCATTGAAGAGGCTCCTTATGGAGTTTGATAGCCATTTGGGCAAGAAACTGCTTTTGCCTGGACTGATGCATAAACTGGACACAAAGAACCCACAGAAAGAGGACTGCTGAACTTGCCTAAAGATGAGATGGTCTTTTGGGGTTCCTGATTCATGAAAGAGTCTACAAGACATTCTGCACGACACAGCAGATAGTGACTGAACTGTCTTTGGAATTTTCCTGCTTCATAGAAATATCCGCTGGATACTATGGGCCTGAAGGCCGAAGATGGATGCCCCAATGGTACAGAGGAACTTTGGGTGACTGTACAGGCAGCGAGATGTCTCTGTGATTTCTAGAGTTTTATAAGTTGCTTACTTCTCATTTATTTAGGTAATATTATATCCTTCTGGAGTCTTTGATGGAGTTGAATGGTTAGTTATAGTTAGTTTTCCTTAGTTATGATAAAAGATAAAGTAGATATAAATATTGTAACTGTAATTCTTGCTTGATAATTGTTTTGTTATATGTAATTTTCCTATGTTAAAGTTAAAGCCTTCCTTTTTTTTGTTTAATCAGAAAAAGGAGAAATGATGGAGGAAGATCATTGGCTAATAAAAAAACTGCCTAGGCCCATTTGATAGGCCAACCCTTAGGTGGGTGGAGTAAACAGAACAGAATGCTGGGAGAAAGAAGTCGAGTGAGGAGTTGCCATGATTCTCCCAGACAGAAGGAGGTTAAGATCTTCCCTGGTAAGCCACCTCGTGGGCTACACAGATTATTAAAAATGGGTTAGATCAATATGTAAGAGCTAGCCAATAAGAGTTTCCGTGTAATTATTTCGGGTATAAAGCTATTACAACAGGAAATGATTATGTGAGGGAGCTCCAAGTCCCTTGGAATCCAGATGGAGACAAGGCTACAAGACTTGTTCAGGTCTCAGGGAGCTTCCCTGTTGATTATGTAGTTTCTTGTCGCCCCCTGGTGTCCATGAGGAGACCTGCAGCTCATGTCTGTGCTGTCGCAAGCTCCAAAGGCTGTAGTGGAGCTGGGCACCAAGTTTCCCAGGGAAGGTCCCAGTGTGCAGCTGCCTTTGAGGACCTAGGTAGACTTTTGCTGGAGAATATAACAGCTGAGGTGAGACTCACTGCCACTTTGATCTGCAGTTCCCCGAAGGCTGATGGTTGAACCCCTTTTCCCGGATGTTCATTGGCTTTTTGTACATCTGTTTCAGGGATAGGAATATCCAAGTCCTTTGCTCACTCTAAAATAGTTTTGTTATGATTTTTAAGTTTCAAAGGGAAGCACATTCATCTACCCAGAAAACCACACTTTAGAACTAGAACATAAAATAAAATGAAAATCAAAGCAAACCTTATGATGCCAGCTTCTCAATGTTGGTAATTCCTGGTTGTGCTAGTTTTGAGACTCAGGGCCAGTAAGTCAGCATTCCCAGGAGTTCAAAAATTCCACAATTAGGGGGAGATGAATGGCGGAGGGGGGGGGGGGGAATGGGAGGCGATGGCGGAGAGGAGGCAGAAATCTATAATAAATAAAAAAATAGAAAAAAATTCCCTGATTATGATGATGTAAGCATACTCTGGACAGCTTTCACTCTCTACAGCTTTTATAGCTAGAATTATTGTTTAGAGTACAATGCACCTAAGTTGGCAGTACTTGTAAGAATTGCACTGTACAGAGACATTTAAAGGATGAAAACCTTCAAAGACGGTCCTCCCAGTAAGGTGGCAGCATAGAGTCACATGTGGATATTGCTTGTTAAGGGCCTGTTTTACATCTGAACCGTGCACATGTTGAGAGCGCATTCAGAGGACCCACAAAGTACAGCATGTATGTGAACTCATCAGGGAGTGTTTGGTCTCTTTAAAATTTTATGTTCTCCTTCCTCAATGTTGCACTGTACCTCAGCATATTTAATTACTGTGTAATGCATACATCATAGGCTAGGATCCACATACAAGAAAGAACATGTGTTTTCCCCCTGATATTGGGTGATCTCATTTAACTATATACATTCTAAGTCTACCAACTTTCCTTAAATTTTGTGGTTTCATTTTTCTCTAGAGACGAATAATATTTCATTTGGTATATGCACTAGACTTCTATTATGCATTCAT